CAGATGCAGAAAATGCAAAGGTATGTGGACCGTTTGCTGAAACTGAATGTGAACTTCCTAGAGGAGTTGGCAATTTATATCATTTTGCACTCCTTACCTTCGTGTTATGATCAATTCCGAATGACATACCACATGAACAAGGAGGAAGTTACATTCATCAAGCTTCAAGGACTCTTGAAGACCGCTGAAAGTGGTCTTAAAGGTAAATCGGTTGTTACTTCTACTCCTACTCCTACCAACACCCCTGTCTTGGCAATCGGGCAAGGCAAAGGAAAGCAGAGGAAGAGCCCTTCGAAGGGTACCAAGGGAAAGTCCCTTGATGGCTCCTACAACCTTCAATCCATCCATCCTTCAATCCCTTGAAACATACATAAAAATTTGAGAAATAAGTGGTTCCATTAGGCATGACATCTACATCCATCTTCACTGTTGATCCAGGGTTAGTCCTTTTTATCTCTTCTCCATAGCTCCATGTTTTTGCATAATGTTCTTTTAAAGAACCCTCTATCTCCTGAAATGCATATTTCCTTGCATTTCTGCATTGTCCAACACTTGCAATCAAATTAAATTTCTTGCTGACTTTAGCTTTCAACTTCCTTATACTCATCTTTGGTTTCTGAAGTATTTGATTCATGAAATGATTTACTATCCATTTATAGGTAACAATGGACCCAAATTTGAAGACTCTTGCATAATTATGCATATCATTCAGAGATTTAATCTGGAATGATTTTTCACTGGTCACAGGTTGCCCATAACCTAAGGGGACAACCTTTACCCTGCTTATTTGTCTTACCTTTACAACATTTTACCAATAACCTTTGATGATCACTTTTCTCATACCATAAATCATATCCCTTTTTGACTGCATAGTTGGTGATACACAACTTCAATTCAAATGGGTTACAAAACTTCGTACCCAAAACTGGCACCATTTGCTCCCATTCTTGATTCTCATTATGGACAGGGAACACAATATCCTTATATTTTCCATTGTTAGCTTCCTCTTCATCATCATCACTTGTATGTCCTGAAAGTTTGTCCAAGAATGGGTCTCCAACAGTTTTATCAAAAGTATGGACCTCTTCATCACATTCATGTTCATATTCCATTGTCTCTGAAACTTCAGAATCCTTGTCATCCTCTTCATCCAACTCATCCGACTCATACCCTTTACCATCTGCTAAGAACTCGTTATCAACCCAATCAATAATTGGTTCATTTCGGTGGTCAATGTACACATCTAACTCACTCTCAGGACTATCACTCTCAAGACTATAAACAGTTTCCACAAACTCCCAATAATCAGCATCACTGTCGATTCTTCTAATACCCTCACACAAGCTTTCCTTTTTCATACAGTAGTAGACATTAGCACAGGCTCCATTGGTTAATTTCGTAAGCCACAAAAGAAACTCTTTATACGTAAATCCCCCAAAATCCACATCACGTACATTTGTTTTTACAGGGTCTAAGTACACCAATGGGTTTGGCAAAAAGAATCCATTGTAATGAAAATCTACAGATACATACATACCTGTAGATGAGGATGCCATGGTAGCAGTCGACTTCAACTCGTACCTTCAATTCTAAGCCCTAATCGTCGATTTGCTGTATCGATTGATTTCTCACAGAAGAAGGTAATCGAGGTGTGTTTTGGAGCTTGTCCTAAGCTGACGATGACGAACCCTAATTAAATGAGAAAGGGGTGTAATGGCCATGTAAGATTCCACGTAATGTTTTTAACCGAGCTAAGTCAATGTTACCGGCTAAAACAGGTAATAGCCGGTAATGTTGGTTATTTGTGAACGGATGAAAAAAGTTAGTTGGGTAAATGAGTACAAAAAAACAATATTACCCATATGTGAACATACGAAATACTTCATTACCTTAATAAGTCAAATTCCCTCAATCCACCACATAAGGCGTTATGATTGCTACAAGTCTTTATCAATGAAACCCGCAAGTGGGATTTAGTAATTTAAGAAAATTCTTT